ATGCATTTATTGAAATATTTAATTATATTTAGCAATAGTTCGAGTTTTTTGATTGGATTTTATTTGCTACTTATAAAATGCAGTTCAAGTCCTTTGAAGCTTATGCCCAGTGTTGCTGGAAGATATTTGGCAAATTGTTTTGCCTGTAAATCCTTTTAGCCTGCCAGGCTGAGAGCCTGCCTGACTGTAACTAGGTCAAGTGGAAATTGTATCTAGTGTAATACGTTTACCGGAAAACAAGAAAGCCAGCAGCTTAGACTTATTATTGTGAAGATAAGATAAGTCTGCAATAGTTATCTTTAAAATAACCACAAAATCCGTTAGAATTATATAACTAAAACAGGCAGCAAAGCACGCCTTTAGGCCCCAAAATTTATATCCACTGACCAAGTTAATTACACTTAATACGCCAGGCAAAGGTGTGTTTGTGTATTTATTTGTGTATGTATCGTGCCTTTGACCAGAAAGCTGTTTGGACATTTGTGTGCAGCTGCCCCAAGAAACTGACAGCTTGGTTATTTGTAGAGCAGGTGTCGTATGTGTGTGTCTGTGCACTGCTGTTAAATACCTGGCCAAATATTTAAGTGGAATCATGGGTCAGTCGCCCGTGAAAATGTGTGTCCATAGCGGCAGCTGCAGCTTTAAATTATTTTAATAGCCAATGAGAAGCTGGCAAAACAAATTGAATATTCTATCAATTTGCTGATGACAAAATAGTGCATAAGACGACCATCTAAATCCAATCAAAATGTATTATATATGCTGACCAAGTTTGTCTTTTGTGTCGTTTCGGCTTGAAAGTTGTCGCTGGCCAGAAAATTGATTTATCAGCCAGGCAGCCACATTAAAAATTGACAACCAAACAAATTGTAGCTGACACAACACGTGTACATTCATCAGGGATGTAGCCAGATAAAGAGCCAGCATGGCATTATCCCTAGATATTGCTAACAAAAATAAAAGCACAGCTGAGTCTCTTTATTGTCAATATTTTATGAGCTTGAATTAATTTTAAAACATTTCGACAGCTGGCACGCCCCCAATCTCTCACTTTTCTTTGCCATTTAACTTTTCTAGTTTGACATATTTTCGCATTCTTCTTCTGTTGCTGCTGCTGACTGTTGCCTGCTGTAAACTTTTTGACAACAGCCTCATCTTTGGGCCATTTTATTAGTTATGCAAATTAATGTGCGTCCATGCGTGAATGGACGTGTGTGCATATTTAATGTGTTATTTTTTTTTATTTTTTATTATTCAGTACACTTTGGTTTTATACATGAGCACATTTATTTTCTGTCCATCAAGCGGCTTTGATAAGTCAAATTAGCTTTGTTTTCAATGGCACTTCAGTGTACAGACTTTAGAGTTTAGCCTGTTTAACTAAAAGAGTATCCATGCATGTACCTAGTGCATTAGGACTGGTTCGGATAATTGGATAAGTTTTGGGGCTTACCATAAGTAGCTCACAGGTGGCAGAATATTATCATGCTTTTATAACGTGCAGTCCAGAATTCTATTAAAATGTTTGTTAACAGCGCTAAACTTTAACGATTTAGCGCTTTGTGCATATTTAATAATTTATAAATTAAACCTTATGGACAAAGGTCTTTGGGTTACAGGTCGCTCTCGCAAACGAATAGCGCAGATAGTTATTATGAAAATCTTAAGTTATAGATCAGAGAGGCTTTATAAATAACTTGAATTATTTGTGTCGGCTTGAACCTCATTCATTAATTAATTAATGCTCACACTTCACTAATTTTACCTATAAAGAACGAAGCCGTTGGATTACCCAAGAGCAGAGCAATAACTTGTCCGTCGAAGCTTTGCCTTGAAGTCTTCATTTAATGCACGCTCATTTCCTAAACACACAAAAATTTTATAACAAGCATTAATTTTAGTTAATAACTTTATAAGGGAAACTAATGCATGAGCCTGTCCAGCCAGCACACATCAGCATATCAAACACTTATGCACGCATCCGCTTCAGCGTACCCACACAAACACAAACACACACACACAAGCACACAGTCAAGGATTTAGCATTTTTCACACACAATGTTTGAGGCAACGCCTAAGACCAGGGCCTAGCATAAGACAGTGGGCTCCGAGCTGTTAGGCATAAAATAGAATTGAAATAACCATACGATAAGCTCAATTTGTGCGCAGCTTTAGTGGCGCATTAGCCATACATAAAGCAAAGATAGCCGCCATATAAGCTGACTGTCGGTGTGCGTGTGTGTGCGTTGATGTGTGCGTCACTTCCGCTTGTAATTGTAGTTACAATGTCACAATCACTAGACCATATAAACGCAAGCAAACAACACTAGAGCAAGAGGCGAAGATGTCGACAGCACGCACACACACAGGCACGTAAGCTCACACCCGCACACACACACACACACACATAGATATAGGCGTAAACAACTCACAGCGCGCACGCACACGCATGCATTTGGCCATGGTCCTGGCGCTGGTCCTGCTTCTGGCTTTTGTGTACGCTTTTAAGTGGCACAGCTCGCCCACTTGGGCGCTTTATTAGCAAAGTGAAACTTAGACAATGCCTGGCAGCCGCCTCAGTCCTTGGCTAAGTTTCGTTCTCGTTGCTCGCACTTTCCACTTTGTAAGTAGCCCTAGCCACATACGCACACACACACACATAGCAGATACCAGAGAAGACAAGAGCAACTCTCAGCCACAGCATTGCCTTGGTAATATTTACAAGTCACTTGTTTTTATGCCTACATTAATTATGCGCGCTTTTGCCTTTTGCCTTTGGTTTTTGGTAACTTTCGGCTTGTCTTTGATTTTGATGCCGTTGCCACAATTCCTGGCAGGCCTTGGCTTTGGTTACGCTCCGCTCCGCTCTGCTCTGTGGCTCTTATTTCCTTGGTATTTTTTTTGTTTTTGCCAGTTTTTTTCTTAGCTGTCATCGCAGTTCCGCTCCACCCCACTTCACTCACACTGGATCTGGTCATATTTTGTTATTTTAAAGCCCGGGCTTGTGGATTCTTCAATAAATTTTGGCACTTATGTCTGTGGTATGTGTTGGTGGCAACTCTGAAACTTAATTGGATGCCGTTCAAGTTTGTCGCTGCTGCTGCCGCTTCTGCTTTTGTGCAGCCCTCTGTGCCCATAAATGTCAGCCAGGTCGAGCTGCATTAACTGACCCAGTTGAGCTCTATCCATGGCTTTGCCCCTTTTACCCACGAGTGCCCTTTAATGGGATTATTGCGCAGTGAAACGTATAATGCGTCAGCCTCGACACTCTCTGCATTTTGCTGCTACTTTGAGCTGGTGGCAAGTAGTTGCAGTTTTTGTTGCTGTGGCCTTGCTATCATGTGCACTTTTTGGCAGACACTGCGTATGCGTAATGTGCGCATCTTAACTGTGCATCTGTCCCATATATACAGCTTTAGTGCTGCTTAGAGATTCTCTTTAGCAACCACTATCAATTTGTATGTGCATTTAGAGTATTAAATTGTTGTACAAATCTATATTTATTACACCTCTGCTAATGCTTTTAATATCTTGTTTGGCTCATGTGTAATGCATCTCCAGTTGTCAAGATACCTGAATGAAACTAAATCTACGGCAATATTCCTGCTGGAGACAGTATTCATATGTAATCAGCTATATATATTTTAGCTATTAACTATAAATATAGTAGTTATCATATTACAAATTGAGGTTCCACGATGTGTCGGTTAGTGACGAGCAAAATTAAATTTAAATTGATTAACTCTTTCTTTAAATTTTTAACATATAATTGTGACCAGCCTTAAATTGATTCGTAAAAGCCAAGAATTTTCTATTAAATTATTTTCTCTCTCTCGCTGTCTTGATGAGATCCACAAATCACTATTGCAGCTTTTCTTGTCCGCACTTTTCCACGGTTCATTTCACTTTTTGCTCGCCTACTTGACTTTCCGTTTGCATTTTCACCGTCATGCGCCATTAGAATTTTTTCAACATTTTTTAGCTGCATTTAAATCGAAGGAAATCGAATATATATAAGCCTGCCGCTTCGATTTAACAATGAAACGTAGCAGATATTAGCATATTTAGCGCTCTGTAATTAACAATGCATAATTTCATTTTTATTAAATTCTTCAGTTTAATGCATTTTTATTTGGTTTCATTTCTTCTTAATGCTTTTTACAATTTGCTTCTTTTAAATTTATTTTTATAAATTTAACTTAGAAAATTAATTTTTAGCTTAATTTGTGTATGCGTTTATGTTTGAGTGTGTTTCTTTGTGTGTTGTTTAATGTGTTCTCTCTCAATTATTAATTCTCATTGTTGTTTAAATATTTTGTTGCCATTTATGGCCTTTCATATTTATGTATTTATAAACTTTTCCCATTACCTAACACTAGCTTAATGTGTTATTTTTATTTATACACCTAAAATAATCATACTTATAGTTATCCGCCTACTTTTAAAAGTTTTTATTTTCGCACTTGCCTGCAAATTCTTTCTTAAATATTTGTTTGTCTGTGTATATTAGTTACTGTTTTCTATGCTAACATTTTTAATTCTTTTTTCATTTTGTTCTTGTAACCCGGATTTTCGTTTTAAGTTTCGGTGCATTTGCCAACTAACTCACTTGGTGAAATTAAAACTAAATAATTTGCGTATATAGCAACTGTAAGTGTGCGTGTGTGTGTGTGTTTGTGTGTGTGAGTGTTTGTTTGTGTGTGTCTGTGAACAAGTTTTACATCTAATGATTTACTATATTTACTTCATTTACAATATTCAATAGTGTGCTTAAATGATTGCTTCTGCATTCTCAACAGTTTTATGCAGTTTTTTTTTTTTTTTTTTAATTTTTCTATTGCTATTCGTTTTAGTTCTTACAACATATGAAATTTGCTTTCCTTTTGCTCAACTTTCACCTTCATCGTTATTAGTTTCAATCTTGAATTATTATATTTACACAGAATATTTTGAAAATTGCATAAAGACTTGTATTGTAATTAAAACCCAATTTGAAATTAACCCCAAAAATATTTTGAAACCTATTTGGATAATTAAAAATATTTTAGCCTGTTAATATACTCATTTTCGAACAGAACGTTCTTGTTTTGGTTCTCCAAATGTTGTCGAAAATATTTTAAATTATGTTTAATTAAATTTTGAACGAAAGCTTCGGAAGTGCAGCTGCAATATTATTAATAACTGTTTTCAAAACTATATCATATTTAAACTAGTTAAAATAATTCTATGTACAGTTAATTTTTAGAATATTTGAAAATTTTTTAAAAGTTGTTCGGCACTTTCCGCTTGAATCATCCCTTTGCCATTTTTAACACTTGCTGTAACTACATGAACTTACATTGTTTATACATTATGTTATTTGTTAAAATTAAGCAGTTTGTTCTTAAATTTGTATTTTAGTTTACGGCTACTTATTTACGATATCTACTGCTCTGTTACCCGGAAGTACCTGTGCTCTGTGTGGTAAGCGCTTTTTCGAATTGATATAAGACTTGTCCTAGAATTTTTTTGTTTTGTGAGAGTTGCCTTAAAGCTGGGCATAAAAAACCTGGGGAAAATGTGTGTCAAAGTCTTTACTTAGGACAAAAACAAATACAATAAATTATTTAAATACAGCTTGGTGCTTCTGTGGCCCAAATTAAAATTTCATAAACTAGAGCACAATACAAAAGGAAACCCTTAATGCCACTCGCGATTTGGCCGGAACACTTGGCACTTCAGCTACACGGCATCCGCCTTCTGGCTAGGATTCAACAGCACCGTGTAGGCCACTTGAGCTCATTCCCAGTTCGGTCCAGGTTTGAAATCCTTTGTGTCACCAAGCAGGTGTCGTCTCGGCAACAACACACGAGACACTTGAGTCTGGAGTGCGCAGAAGAGTTGCCACTGAATTGGGGCTGCGGGTGGAGCGGGTTTGGGTGGTTGTAACATGTGACATGTGGGCACAGGCAAGTCAATTGTCAGCCAACAACGTCGCCAAAAGCAACTCAATCGGCAAGCAAACAAACCCACAACAAACTCACACAAACACACGCATACACAACACAACAAAAGAATAGTAGGCATAGGCCTAGCATTTCTTTTGCTTTGCTGCTTTCTTTTAAAAAAGAAAATTTTGCGCGGCCCTTTTTTATGGCTTGAGAGCCCGGGCAAGACGCTGAAAAGTTTATATTAAATGAAAAACTTTTTCAATTACATCAACGGAAATAAAATGCTGCCAGCTTGCCACTCGAGGCACGCATAGCCATGGCTGGACGGCCGGGCGGCACGGTGCAGAAGCAGGAGTCGGTCCTAACAACAACAACAACAAACACAACAATAACAAATGCCAAAGCTGAAGTCAGAGCCGGGGCTAGAGCCGGTGCTGGAGTCGGAGCCTTTTGTTTAGCGGCGCGTCTTTGTTTTTCGGCTTTATTAGGTTAGGTCGCCTCTGCCCTTTTGTTATACCCTTGCAGCGGGGACAAGCAACTTGCGCAAAAAGTTTGCTAACAAAAATATTAACCATGGGGTCACAAAATATATATACAATACCATTAACTTTCCCTTTCAAGTTTTTTTCTATAGAGCATTGAACTTTCTAAACAAATAAGCGACTAATTGAACCTTGATCAGTTCCTATACAAAATAAATTACTTTGACTATCGAAATATTTTTAAGAATATATTTTTAAGTCAAAGAGGAAAAAATTGGACGATAAGAATAAAAACGAAATAAAATAATTTATCGGGCTTACTTTTCAGGCAAACAGCAGCAAAACGTTTTAGCCAAGCTCGGTGTACTCTATTCCACTGGTTCATTCTGCCAGGCTTATTAAACTTTTTGTCAATTCGGAATACTCTATTATTAGAGGTTCATTCTGTAAGAGCATATTTAATTCGGTTCACTAAGCTTCTTGTCAATTCAGAATACTCAATTTTAAAGGAATATTCTGCAAGCGCATATTTAATGCGATTCACCAAACTTTTTGTCAATTCGGAATTCTCTATTATTGATGTTCATTCTGCAAGGGCATATTTAATTCGGTTCGCTAAACTTTTTTTTGTTTTCTTCTGCTGTTGTAGTAAGTTTCAGGTTGGGTTGCGTTCTCGTCTTTTGTTTGACTCGGAGACTGTTGTTTCATCAGCTTGTTTGTCGTGGGCTAACTGCACGAAAATATACGGATACGGATACGAACACAAACTAAATCTATATAAGTACGCGCATGTGTGAGTGTGTCATCAGCGCGCGGCTATTTACAGAGCCACTGAATCGTCTAAGGCAGTATCCTGGCCGGCAGCAGCGCCACGTTGTCAAATGTCGCTCGTTTCCTGCGCATCACCCACGTAGCCCTCATCCGGACTATCAGCCAGCGGTCCATTCAGCTGCTTAAGCTTAGATGCATCCGCTGACTCCGTGTTGTTGCCGTTGCTGTTGCTGCGGCCAGCGCAGTCCGCCTCGGCCATGGCCGTATTCGAGCCGCTGGGCGATGTTTCGCTCTCATCCAACTCCGGTATGGTGGCGCTTCCATTGACCGCATTGCTCTCCAACGTGGGTGCAGGCGTCGCAGCTGCTCCTGCTGCTGTCAGCACTGGCGTTGGGGATGGGCTGTGGCCGTAGCGCAGTGGCTGTGCATGATAGCCAGGCAGGCAGCTCGGCCACTGCTGGAAGGCTGGCAACGGCAGATCGCTGCTCTTGTAGCCCTCGGGTGGCGAGGGAAATTGCTGCTGCAGCTGCAACTGTTGCTGTTGTTGCTGCTGCTGCTGCTGGGGATAGCCCTCGGCAGTAAAGCGTACATTCGGTAACTGATACTTCTCGTAGCCAACGGGAGGCGCGCGCTGTACAAACTCCGCCTCCAGGCTGTAGCGCAGGCTGGCATTTTGTGCAGCTGCCGCAGCCGCAAATTGTTGCTGCTGCTGCTGCTGTTGCTTATGGGCGCGATTATGTGGAAGCGTGCGGTAAAAGTTCTGCTGCGGTTGTTGCTGTTGTTGGTTGTGCGGCGTGGCTGCCACCTGTTGCACCAGGTGCGCGCTGCTGTAGTCGTAGGCGTAGCCATCCTGGCCTAAAAAGCAAACCGGATTCAAATGTACATCCACCTGGTGTGGCGATGTGGCTGCTGCTGCTGCAGCTGCTGCTGCGGACGCAGAATTCAGCACCGATTTCAGCTGCATGCCACGTGGCAGGGTCGTCATGGCGGCAGCAAAGCGTGAACCCATTCCCAGCATGGTATGCGCATGGGGCGTGGCCGTGGCCAGCTGATAGCAGCCCTCATACTGCCCACAGTCGCTGGCTGTCTCATAGTCGGCAGCGCCATCCAGCGAGACGGCCGTCTTCAGCTTGTGCTTGACACTCTCCGCATCGTTGACCAGATCTGGGTTCTTCTCCGGGTAGTTGCGCAGCGACGCGGGTGGCGAGCAGTAGGCGGCAGCCAGCCCGTTGCTCAGAAGCAGCGGGGGTGAGCCGGCAGCAGCCGCAGCCGCCGCAGCGTTCATCATGTTCACATTGAGCTGTAGCTGCTGTTGCTGCTGTTGCTGGTGCTGCTGGTGCTGTTGATGCTGCTGGGCATGGGTATGTGAATGAGTATTGGGCGTGGCATAGAGCAGTAGATTCTGTTTCATTTGACCGCCAAGAATGAGGCCGCCAGCGCTGCTAACGCCAACATTGGCAGAACCGCCGGCAGTGCCATTGCTGGCCTTGGTGGGTGTCAGATTGTCGCTGAGCAGCAGCCCGGCGCCGCCGTTAAGGCTATCGCCATCATTGAGTATCGAGGCACACTTCATCATGCCGGTATCCTGGCTGCTGCCATTGGTCGAGTCAGTGGCGCCAGCAATGCTGGTCACCTGGTCGCATTTTTTGCGCTTGGCCGGCTCTGTGCCGCGCTTGCACTTGACCACAATGGTGCAGAGCAGCACGGCAAAGATGATGCCGCCACCAGCACTGCTGGCCACAATGTAGTTCATGTAGTCGCGCGGAAAGGAGACCTCATTCACCACCGGCGGCTCCTTGATGATCACGCGTAGCGTATAATTGCTGAACGTGGTGCCGGCTATGTTTTGGCCCACGCAAGAGAAGGTGCCATTGTCCTCGGCACCCACATTGTAAATGAAGATCTCGCTGCGTTTCTCCTCGGCGCCACTGCCGCCGCTCTCGTCTATATAATAGTACATGTGCAGATTGTCCAGCAGGCTGTCGTTGCTCATCACCTGGCCATTGAATAGCCAGAGCACCTTCGGCTCGGGTATGGCGCGCACCAGACATGTAATGGACATGTTGCGGCCCTCGCTGACCTCCGTGTAGCTCGACTGTGGACTGACCTCGGGCAGGCACGCGAGCTGTGTCCGCTGCAATCCCTTGATTACCTGGCCCTTCAAACGCGCCGGCTCCATGCACTTGGGCTCCTCGGCCAGCGGCGTATTGTGACTAACCAGCCAGCCGTATACGTCCAGCAGGCGGCAGTCGCAGTTCCAGCGATTGCTATGCAGACTGATGCCGTGCAGCGATTTGGGTAGTATATGAGCGCCCTGGATAAAGGCAATGCGATTGCCATCCAGGCGCAGCCACTCCAGATTGTCCATGCCCACAAAGGCCTCGTTCTCGATGCGCTCCACCTGACAGTTGGACAGCTCCAGGGTAGTCAGAAAGGACAAATGCCTAAAGGCCGAAGTCTTTAACTCGCGTATGGGATTGCCGCTGAGCGAGAGGCGCATCAGCGAGCTGTAATCCTGGAACGTTTCGCTGGGCACATGCTGCAACGCATTCTCGCTCAGATCTAGCTCCACCAGATTGGTCAGTCCGCGGAATGCCTTTTCGTGTATGCGTATCAGCTGATTGCGCGACAAATAGATCTTCTGCAGATTGAGCAGGTCCATGCGCAGGAAACGCTCGCTCTGCAATACCTGAAGTCCGTTGCCGCTAAAATTGAGCACCTGTGTGCCCGGATCCATGCCCTCCGGCAGGCTTGACAGTTGCTGTCCGCCGCACTCAACCGTCTGCTTGCCGCCCTTCCATTTGCATACACAAACATCCGGCGGGCAGGCCAGGATGCACTGCAACACCAGCAGCTGCAGCAGCAATAGGAGTTGTAATTGCAATCGGTGTGACATTGTGTTATACAGTTAGTCTATTGGCTTTGTCTAAGCTTTATGAGTTTTTTGTTATTTTTTTTTGTCTTGGCTTTCCTATTTTTAAAAGGTTGTGCGACACTTGGTCACGTTTGCATGTCAAATTAGTAAATGAAGGTGACGTTTTTAGAGTTCCTCTTCCGCGTCACGCAAATATCATTAGCGACATCTAAGCGCAGTCGTTGTAATATAAAGTTGATCTCAGCTTCTCGGCTACTCGGCTTGTCTGTCGTCTCGACTTGGCAACGAATCACGTTGCCTACTCGAGTGTCAGGCAATAAAAGCGCTTCCCGCTAGCCGGCTGCTGGGCCGCCATTATTATCAGAGTGCGAGTGCTCATCATTGTGTCCACGTCGCTGCTGTCATTGCTGATGTGGCGCCCCTTTTTGCCGCAACTGTTCTCAGTGCCACACCCACTGACGCTGCTGTTGTCTGCGTCTTTTGTATTAATTTCATAAAAATGCCAGTCGCTTGATTTTTGCTTGGCCGGGCCTGTGAGTTGGCAACGCTTTTGTTATTGTCGCCTCTTGGGTCCTGCGGCTTTGCTTTACTTTTACTCTACTTTAGTCTACTTAGGCGCTCGTCCTTTTCTTCTTAGCCCTTCAACGTTTTTGCCGTTGACTGAAAAGGTTTTCGTCCTTAATGAAATTATAACGCAATTCATTTGTTGTTGTTGCTGCCGTTGTCTCTGCGGCTGCTGTCGTCGATCCCTTGCCGCATTCTTCGCATTGTGTATGCGACACGTGTACAGATTTTTGTTGCTGTTGCTTTTTCTGCTGCTGCTTTGCTCGTTAGGCGCTGCAAGTAAATTGAAGTAAGCAAAATAAACGGTTAGTTACAGCCATCTTATTCAAGTTTAAATATTTGCTTTTAAAATATCTCAAGCCAATATTAAATTCATTATTGCTAACTGAAATTTGCACTCTTAGCAAGTAAACATATTGAAGAAAGCTCTAGTCGTTGTATTCCGACTTGTTAAACTCTTTCACATATATATAGAGACAGAGTACCAGAGTAGTAAACCCCTACAGGGAACACATTATGTACAAAAAAACCCTCTTTATTAATTATATATTATTGTTCCGTATCTTAAGAGATTAAAGTAGTTTCTTATTTGATATATGTTAAAAGATTTACATCTATTTTAATATTAAATCGTAAATATAATTTGTAAAATAATGTTAAATTTCAAATTTTAGCTTTTCAGATGTTTTTAATGCTCGTAAACAAATAAAAAGTACAATTTTAATTTTAAAAATCTCATTTCATCAATATACTTCGTTTTTTTTGCGTTTTCCCGGACATCCGGCTGCAAGTAAATAGCTTCGTTATCTTTGTTTGAATTTCAACGCAATCCCCAATATAATTCTGTCTATAGCTTCCTTTATTTTTGCCGATATTCAGATAATTACAATTTTTATTTTTTATCGTGGCATGACATGTACAAATAAACGTATTTATATAGGAGTGTATGCACTTGTATTTATGTACTTTATTTCAGGTGATTTATTTTTAATAACTTTTCCAGGCAGTTGGCAAATATTTCATCGCCCGCACTTGATTATTAATGTACTTTCATTTGGCCCACTCGGAGTTCGTATGTTTATGCATAATGAATCCGGGGGATTGATTTCAACTTGAAAGTGAAATGAAAAACATGGACAGGATAAATTCATTCATATCCTATCGCCAATATGCAAATACGAGCAAATGAAAATGAAATCGCACAGCTGTACAAACAAATTCCGTGCAATTTGTTGCCTTTAATTGCATTTCGTGTTTTGTTAATGCTGAAGGGAAAGAAATACACATACCCATAGGCGCGTGTGTGCGTGTGTGGGGGTTTATTATTTCTCGTTGTGCTGATTACCTGCTCATTATGACCCTTATACCATTTGATATATGTATAGCGAGGGCACAGCTGTAGGCTGGCCATTAAATTACCTTTGCCCTTGGCAGCAGCAGCAGCAACAACAAGCTGACATTTATATTTGTCCAAATTAATCAGAGGACATTAAAATGCCAAAAGACAAAGGAAATGACAGGCAAGCAACTTAAACCAGAATGTAAATAAGCAAAAGCACAGACAATCGAATGAAGATGACAGCTATAAATCATGCAACATATTGCACTAAAGCCACTTTAGGTAAATAACATATAAATTACACTGGAAATTGAGCCAAGTGCAAGTGGCCAATAGTCAGGCAGCCAAGCAGCCAAGCAGCCAGTCGCCGGCCAAGTAAATCGGTCGAAAAACAAGCTTTTCCAAAGAGACGCAGCAATTGTGTAATTCGATCCAGCGGATACACGAGCACAGGCAAAGAATTTCAGCAAGCCAGCCACGCGCTTCATGAGCCACCCACAACGGGCGCAACGGACTAACAGTCAAGCTAGACTGACTGACTGACGGACTGACTGACTGACTGAGTGACTGATTGACTGGATGGGTGGGATGGTAAACTTGTGCCGGCTGGCGCCAATGCAAATGCGTAATGGATACTCGGCTATGCCATCATTTTGTTGGCTAACAAATTGACTTGATTTGCTTTTGCCATGGCAGCGGCACCGACTTTCACCTGAACTCAGTTTTTTCGACATTATTAATAACTAGGCATTAATCTTGGTCATGTCGTTGCCAATGCCGCAGCTGGCTTGGCCTTTTAGCCAAATGTTTAGCGCTTAGCTTGTAATTGTAGCTGTGATTCTCTTTTCTGCTAAACAGGTAAACGTGGTCAGGTTTATTTATCGCAGCAAAGCTGCTGAAAAATTCATGAACTGTATAATTAATGAGAGATTATTGTATATCAATGTTTCTCGTATCTAATGTTAATTACCAAAAACCACTTCGAAACAATTGTAATCAGCAAATCGTTTGCAAAATCACGAAAAACAGTTTAAAACCAAATAACGTATTATGCAAACAAGGCCAAATAATTTTTTTAATGCTAATAAATATTTGAAAAGATTTAAATATATATTGATTTTTTTAGTTTTTTTTTTTTTTTTATACCCTAAGCCCATTAAAAATGGTTATGAGGGTATATTGTATTTGTGCGGAATCCAAATGTATTTAACAGGCAGAAGGAAGCATCTCCGACCCCATAAAGTGTATATATTCTTGATCAGCATCAATAGCCGAGTCGATCTAGCAATGTCCGTCTGTCTGTCTGTCCGTCTGTCCGTCTGTCCGTCCGCCCATCTGTCCGTATGTATGAACGCACGGATCTCAGAACCTATAAGAGCTAGATACTTTAGATGTAGGTGCTCCTAGTGCCTGCGCAGATCGAGTGTGTTTCCGATAATCGATAACTTACTCCGTTTCTAAGCAATCGATAAAAGTCGATATCGGTATCCTGTTTTTTTGACAATTTTGGTAAATAATAAGAGCTAGAGTCACCAAACTTGACATATAGCTTCTAAAATAGAATATATATATGCATTTGATGTTGGAAGAGGAGGGTTCAGGGTATCCCCTAGTCGGGAGCTCCCGACTAGAACCTCTTACTCGTTTATTTTGGTAATGCGCTGTGCTCAATAAAATGCGTATATTATTTATTTTAAAATTGCATCTGTCGCAAAGGAGATTTAGTTTGCTTTGGAATACGATTAAAAATATTTGCGATAAAAACAATTTATTTGAAAATAAATGTATAAATTGAAAGATGTATCAAAATATTAGCAAAAACGACTATATTGGCCGTCCATAGTTGATTTGAAATTAGTTTTCACAAACGCATATAAACGGGCCCCCTTTAAATATGCATAAATTTGTATATGGAATTTTGTTGGGAAAAGAAAAGAAAAATCAATTCCCAAATAGACAAAAAATATTTTGTTGTGCTTTGTGCTTCTTTAGAAGTTGTTGCGCAGGACTCTGAGGACGTTTATGAATTGCTGAAAGAAATTTTAATTTAATTTATGCTCGTACAAATACAAGACATTTCTCATTTGGCTGCCTTGGCAGCAGTTTTGTACACATTTTTGACATTTTCATTTGTCAGTTATGAAGCAGCAGCAGACAACACAGGACTCAGGACATTCGACACGGAAGTGTGCCTGGCTGGATGTGTGCGTGCGTCCTTGTGTGCTCGTGTGTTATATCCTTATCACAAAATGATTTGACAGTCGAGAGCAACCGCCAGTTGAACTGTGTTCGTGCGTCTGTGAATCTTAAAAATGTCATGCATTTTATGTTATTTAATAGAACCGAATGAGACGGATGCTGAGTAAAACCAGCGGCAAATCGTTGAGATTTGTACCTTGTAGATCGCCAGCAAGTGGAAATTTTCCAGCTGCCTCTCTAATGTGTGGAAATTTTCCAGCTGCCTCTCTAATAACATTTATTTCATTTTATTTTATTTTATTTTGTTTCATTGATCCCATGACCCGTGTCTGTGCTGTGCATTGGCACGTCTTTTGAACTGCTGTCATTGAAAATAATTTCAATTTCATTTAAGCTCTGGAAATCAATAGACGTTCGCAGCCAATAGGCATTTCACAAAAGACATAAGCAATTGTTTGTTTTATATTTTCTATTGTGCTGCATTTTCTTTCCCATTTTTTATTAGGCGTTAATAGTCGTCGCCTTTTGTTATACGCGGCGTTTACTTAATGCAAAAAGAGCGTGTGTGTTTGTGTGTGGGTGTGTGTTAAATAGGCGAAAAGAGTCGATTGGGCTTTGGCTGCAGAACGAACACCGACACGTGGCGCGCTTTTATCGGTACTGGTTGTGCCTGTACTTAATATATTTTTTATTTGCGAACTGCAAGCAACTTCAAGCTAAGTACTTTATTCGGTGCCGTTCTAATTTCGGTGGAGCAGCGGTTAAGTAATGCCGAGTTTTTGTGGCTTTTATAGATTCCTGTCTAAAGTGCCTGCTAATACGCTTAAACTTAATTAAAAACTTATCAACAGCTGCGGCAAACAATTTGGCTGCCGTATCCAGCCGTTGCCCTTGGCAATCTAACCAACAGGAAGCCGCTCTTTACAGCAACAGCTTGCAAAGACCCCAGCCAAGAAGTGTGGAGCCTTTTCGTCGCCAAAGACGCAGGGAAAACTACGTACAACTATTTTTATTACCGCCTGAAGAAAACTCAACCTATATAAAGCTTGTTACTTGGATCTAAATTGAATTTGAAATGCATAACAAATTGATTAAGCAATTTATAAATGCATTTGATTAAATACATGTACATATGTTTCTTTATTTTAGTTAAATAATTAATTCAAATTTGATCAGGTAATAAAAAAGTATATGTTACTGAGTGCAGGCGGATCTAAGCTTTATAAACAATCTTTTTGACGAACAGCTGTCTGGATTGATGTTGACCAAGTAACTAAAAATATATAAATGTTTGCGTTTATTATTATTTATTACACTGTGCGACGAAAGCAGTTCTAGATCGCCGTGTTGCAAGCACTGCAGCAGTGGCAACTTCAAAGTGGCGTTGCAAACATGTCATAACATGTGAAAATTAAAATGTACATGACAACTTAAGCGGCGTTCTGGCGCAGGCATTCGCAAGCTACCACCCCAACCCACTCGCACGGCACAGCCAGGAGCACTTAATTTGGCATGTTGCCTACTGTGCTGGCCCTGGCCAAGCCAAAGCAGCAACAACAACAACAACAACAACGACAACTGTTAGAGCAACACAAACAGGTACAGGTGCAGCCACAGTGGCGGCAGGACAACTGGCAGGACAACCACAGCGACGAGTGCCATTCTGTAGCGTGCATAAATTTTTTACTACCTTAAAAAAAGGCACAGCGATGGCCATAAAACTTCTACTCGCCAA